AAGGTAAATGGCATTGGTATTAATTGAATGTATCAGTTGGTAGAGGGCTAAGTTCTGCCTTCCTCTGGTATGACTTGGTTTAGCAAATAAGGCGAGATGTAAGGGACCACGGTCATTATGGAGTTCTTTTGGGTCAGAACTGGGTTCTAGTTTTAGGACTACAGCCTTAATTGCCTTTTTGGATTTTTTTTGTAAATGCGGGACACACCTCAGTTGTTTGGCTCAGGAGTGCTCAATCCTTTTTCGTTCACTTGAGATTGTGAAGCCTCTGAGCCACACCTCTGGAGCTCAGCCCAGGCTTATTCCTCCACAGACCAAAGGCCGTCGTCCCTGTGTTGGAGGATGTGGCGCAGGCTGGGGTCCAAACAGGTCTTCCTTTTACCTCCTTCAGTTTCAACTCTGGGATGCGACTATGTGGAGACAGACCAGGAACTGTCAGCCACACTGAGGTTCAGGACATGCCTCTCTACCCACCGGCGGGCAGAACTGAGAGGGCACCAGCGTGAGAGTCTGCCTTTCCTCCCTGTCCTTAGGAGGAGTGTGTGGCAGAGGGCAGGAAGGGGGAGAAGTAAGATTAATCCGGTCCGCTCACTGGTTGAGCGCGGTGCGGGCGCGACACCGAGGGTTGCGATCCCGTTACTACTACACAGGAAGGCGGCAGAAGCTGGTTTCTTACTGGCATTTGTGGCAGGGTTGCTTCCTAGTGGCCAGGGTGGCCTCGTTTGTTCTTGCCTTGGGCCCTGTTACTTTTGGCCCCTCTCCTTACCCTGGAAAGTGGGAGGTGAATGGGAGATGGAGTGGGAGCATTCCTCTGTGAGCCTGTTAGCTTGAGGCACACCCCTCCATCTCACCTTTCAGCTGCTGCTTTGGGGGCAGGGGGCAGTGGAGGAGTTAGGGGTCCACCTGGATTGCTACTGGGGTTCAAAAAGGAAAGCAGTAGAGGTAGGCCAGGCCCTAAGAATTTCCCTTTGGCACCCTCCTTTTTGTAGGATTCTGTCAGAGGCTTTGGGGGATAGACACAGATGAAAAACAATGGCCCCACCTTTCCTTTTGTTCAATTATCAGGGTGTTCCTACCTAGTAGATTGTGTAGTCTAAGCTTTATGACAGCTCAGGAGGCCAAAGATTTGGTCATAGGAAGGGGGAAGGGGGAGAGGAAAAGCAGGGGAGGGAAATGAGGGTGGGGCGGGATGGGCGTTGACTGCTGTGGGCTCACAGGATCTCTCCACCCAGGCCAGGGTGCTCAGCCTTCCTCACCTCTGTGAGCACTGAACTTGGGAGGTTGTTTCAGAAAATATTCAGTGAATGAATATGGAGCCTTAAATGTGGCTTTTCTTTACTGGTCATAGTTGGATCATGTCCAAAGCTTCCTGCCCTTTCATCTCTTCTTCCCAATTGTGGTTAAGCCCCCATTTCTCTCATGGATGGAAAGAACGTGGACCGTGGAGTCCCTGTCCTTGGTACAGATCCTGGGCTTCGTTATTGCTGTCTTGTCCTTGGAAAAGTCATATGACCTTTCTGAACGCCTATTTCCTCAACCATGAAGTGGAAAAGTCAATACCCAATCAAGAGGTGATGAGATAACTGGGAAGGTTCTGAGCAGAATTCATGGTTCTTAGAAGGTACTTTAAAAATCATCATTCTCCCTTCTTTAAAAAATTCCCGTCTTATTCTTTTATTTGATTTGAGAAAGCTGACTTGGTCTGATTTTTTTTTTTTTTTTTTTTTTTTTTTTTTTGTCTTTTTCCGTGTCCGGCAATGGATCGCAACCCTCAGTGTTGCCCCCGTACCGGACTGGGGACCGGCAACGGGATCGCAACCCTCGGTGCTGCTCCCGCGCCTCGCTCAGCCACGGTCCGTATGTGGGATCCGAACCCTCGGGCGGGAGCGCCGCCACGCTTCCCAAGCGGCGCACTTATCCAGTGTGCCACCGGGCCGGCCCTTGGTCTGATTTTTGACTAACCTATAGCTGGCATTGGTAGCTTGGATTAGTCAAAGGATGTGAGGGAAACAATTAGGGGATTTCTGGAATCAGTATACAAGCCTCACCTTTGTTCTTTCCTTAGGGAGCAGGTTTTGGATAGATGTTTTATCACAGAAGTTGCCATCTTATCAGTCCCATGTGTTTCCACAGATCCTGCTTCTCAGAAGATGCACTATTATAGATACTCTAATGCCGAGGTCAGCTGCTGGTACAAGTACCTCCTCTTCAGCTACAACATCGTGTTCTGGGTAAGTGGGTGAGAATGAACACATTACCTTGTTTCCTCCTTCATTCAGTAAGTCGTGTTCTTCACATATTTTTGGTTCGCCAGGCCCTGTGTGAGGCCCTGGTGGTGGGCAGGGTTGATGAGCCCTGCCCTTGCAGAACTAGCAACAAGTGCTATGATGGGGAAGGTCGAGGTGATTGAGAGCTGAATTAAGGGCCCCTAACCCAGCCTTGGGGGTTCATGAAGGCTTGGGGTTCTGGCCCAGATGCCTGTCTGTCTCTCCCCGTTCCTGCCCCAGGAATGCCCCACCGAGATGTTGGCAGCAAGATACCTTGTGTGCATTTGATGTGGGCCAGGCCCTGTTCTGGGTTCTGGGAGGTGATAGCGGACAAGGGCAATAAAGTCCTGCCCATGTGGTATGTGAGTGTAACCAAGAGCTGTGTTAGCCTACTGAGCAACAGAGAGCAAGCAGGGAGAAGCTCCTTTGCTAGGATGGTCAGGAAAGAGCAATCTTAGGCGGTGATTTGTGGGCTCAGACCTGAGTACTAATGAAGAGGCAGCCAGGTGAGGGTCTGAGGAAGAAAGCTCCAGGCAGAGAGAACAGCAGTTGCAAAGGCCTTGAGGCAGGAATGAGCTTGGCATGTGCAAAGGACGAAAGGCCACCTGGCTGGACCTGAGTGAGGAAAGGGGAAGGGAAATACAGGTGAGGACAGAGGTAGGCAGGATCCAGATCATAAAGGGCCGTGCAGCTCTCAATAAATAGTTGGAATTATTTTCTCCTTTAAATAACTCCTGGAAGGTTATAAGTTGGATGGTGTGATCTGATTTTGGCGTGACTCTGCAGGATGAGGGGATGGGCGGTGGTACATGCTCTAAGATGGGATTTGGGGGCAGAAGGGTGAGTTTGAGTTGTCTATTAGCCAGCCTCATGGAGACGTCTGTTTTCTTTGTCAGTGACCATCCTGGAGATGAAAGTCTTGGCCACCGTCAGAGTGAAGGGTGGGTGGGATGACAGCATTGAAACTGAGTGTGTTGACTGAGAAGAGGAGAGGAGTACATGCTCTAAGATGGGATTTGGGGGCAGAAGGGTGAGTTTGAGTTGTCTATTAGCCAGCCTCATGGAGACGTCTGTTTCCTTTGTCAGTGACCATCCTGGAGATGAAAGTCTTGGCCACCGTCGGAGTGAAGGGTGGGTGGGATGACAGCATTGAAACTGAGTGTGTTGACTGAGAAGAGGAGAGGTCTGTGTATTGAGTCCTGGGATGCTAGAGATTGGGTTGAGTAGGAAAGCCCACTCCAGAGTTGGCCAAGAGTGAGTGGCCCGGAGCAAAAGGAAGACCAGGAGATTTTGCGTTGTAGAAGCCATTCGAGTAGAAAGGAGCAGTCAGGTATGTCACAGCAAGGTGAAGGAAGATGAGGACAGAAAATGGGCAATGGCTGGAAGAGGTGGAGGTCATTGGTGCCCTCTGCTAGAGCCTCTGTGTGCTCTGGGTGTTGGTCGGGAGGCTGGAAACCCAGCTGGAGTTGGCCGAAGAGCCCATAGAAGGTGAGATGGTGACTTTTGACAGTTCTTTCAGGGACTCTTGCCTTAAACAGGAAAAGAAAAATTGGGCATTGGAAATGGTCAGAGGGTTAAGGGAGATATCATAGCATGTGTGTATTGCCACTGGTGTTGGTCCAGGAAGAGGCAGACATTGATTCTGTGCAGGAGGGTGAGGGGACATGCTTGGGCACAGAGACTTTGTAAAACCATTAAGCAAGCACCGTTTATTAGTATCTGTGTGGGCTCAGATGGAGAAGGAGGGATAGACTTGAGTGGCCATGACGCCACCACGTTTTGCTTCTACAGCAGATTTGGCACTTCCTATTTGGACTTGAACTCTTGAGAACAAGGCAGACTTACTAAGACTTCTGAGACTTTCAGCGTTGATTTTATAGCATCATCCTTTGGTGATTTATCTCAATATGCTTGGGGGTTTTCTGTCCTGAAGAAATAGGGTGGGATTCAGTGCCTTGGCTTTTCATCCCAGCTCTTTTCCTGTGCTCAGACCACCTTTCACCACCAACCTCATCATTGTCCTTGAAATAGGGTATTGCTGGACATTGGGTTCCTTCTAACGGGGGGACTGTGCCACAACCTTGCCATGTGTAGCTTCCCAGACCTGCATCGCTCCCTGACTAGGAAAACCCTCTGGTCCCACCTGGCATTTTCCCCTGCCCAGTCAGGCGTATGGTGGACGGTTGGCTGGGCAGGTACACTTGGGACACTGTACACCCACCTGTCCCCTCTGGCTGTGCTTGCTTGGCTTTGTGCCTCGATCTCTGACTCTCATCCTGATTTTCGCAGCTAGGGCAAAACTCTCACTGCTGTTGTGGCTGAGTAATCTCCGTTTCTCCAGAGGCATTCCAGAACAGACTCTTTGCTCCTGGGGAGCTCTACTAACTTAACACAATAACACATTCGCAGCACCAAATTCAAGTAGCGTTGTTCATGAATCCAGAATGGTGGCAAGTCTGCTGGATGGTCATAGGTGCTGTAGTGTTATCGAGGTTTTGCAGAATTTGCAATGTGTGTGGTTGAGAGTTAATTATTTTTTGGTTAGTGTGCACTGGGGCAGAACAGGAAGGAACAAGCAGGAAGAGTCAGGAAAATAAGGCATGAGAGAGCTTGGTTGGAAAATGAGAGTGGGAGGCCAAGCACTTTGTTCAGGGCGAGGCGGCCCGGATTCTCCCTGCTGAGTTCCTGGCAGTGATTTGCTGTCTTCGTCTGCACAGGAGCTGGCAGTGTGGAGTGAGGCTTGAGAATTGGGTGCACAGCCCTCCAGGATACCCCATGGTGCAGTGGGAGGATGCTGGGCAAGCTCTGGGCACCTAGGTGTCAGTCCGGACTTTCACATGAAGAGTGACCTTGATAAGCTTCGATGTTTTCATTGCGAAATATTGATCTCAGCTGCCTGTTATCTGCCTCATAAGGCTGCTGAAAATGTATAAAGTGGTATGTATAACAAGCCCTTATTTCTTCAGAGAAGTTTTCTTTTTTTTTAAATGGAGAAAATACAAAAATAGAATAATATAATGAACCCTGTATTCTCATCATCTATCTTTAAAAATTATCAACTCATAGCCAATCTTGTTTCATTTGAATTTCTTTCCACCCCATCCTTTGGATTATTTTGAAACAAAGCCTAGATAGATAATTTTGCACAAAGAGTTTTTCTATTTGTTTTGTTTCGATGAATTAACAATGAACAATGACTGGTGCAGAAGGATTGCAGGTGTTGATGGTGGACACTGGGCTCAGCAGGCAAGTTTGAATATGTAGGAGGCAACCTGTTGTTTCTGTGGCCAATTCTAGGTGCTAGGACAAATGCAGGTTTTATTTATGGGAGTAGTTTGCTCCCATTTAGAATTACTTTTACAATAACATTCTTTATAGATAAAGATAAATGCCTATATTTAAATACCTGTATCAATACCTGTATTGATACAGGTATTTATAGATAAATACCTGTAGTACTCCAACTGTTTTTTAAAGCTTTCTTTCTGACTTTGGGGCTGGCATTTCCTAGTTACCTTTAGTACTCCCTTGGGGTGAGAAACATGGAGGCTGCTGATATTTGCGTCTCTAGTCTACAGAGTGACAATTGAGCTGGGCTTCATGCAGTTCTTGTCACAGAGATGTTAGGAAAACATGCTTCCAGCCAGCATAGCATTTCTAGAGAACTAGTACTTTTTCCTTTTTTTTTTTTTTTTTTAATTATTCTTTGCCTGTGCTAGACCTGGTTCTAGTGCAAAATCTCACTTTGATTTAGAGAAATGCAAATCAAAACCACAACGAGAAAAATCACACCCATTAGGATGGCTATTATAAAAAGAACAAAAAAGGTTGGTGAGGATGTGGAGAAATTGGAACCCTTGTGCACTGTTAGTGGGAATGTAAAATGGTGCAACCACTATGGCAAACAGTGTGGTAGCTCCTCAAAAAATTGAAAATAGAACTACCATATGATCCAATGATTCCACTTCTGAGTATATAACCCAAAGAATTGAAAGGAGGATCTCAAAGAGATTTTGCACACCCCCATACATTAGTAGCAGCGTTATTCATAATAGCCAAAGGTGGAAACAACCAAAGTGTTCTCAACAATTAAATGGATAAACCAAGTGTGGTATATCCATACAACAGAGTATTATTCACTCTTAAAAAGGAAGGAAATTCTGACACATGCTACAACGTGGGTGGACCTTGAGGACACTGTGCTGAGTGAAATAAGCCAGTCACAAAAAGACAAATACTGTTTGATTCCATGTGTGTGAGATATCTAGAGTAGTCTGACTCACAGAGACAGAAAGTAGAATGGTGGTTGTCAGGCTGGGGGAGGGGGAAATGGGAAGTTGTTTATTGGTACAGTTTGGGTTTTGCAGGTTGAAAAGAATCCTGTGGATGGATAGAGGTGATGACTGCACAGCACTGTTAATGTACTTAATGCCAATGAATTGTACACTTAAAACTGTTTGAAGTCAGTTTTATAATATGTGTATCTTATTTTATGTGTATTTTACCACAATTAAAATTTTTAAAAATTTCACTGACTTGCAGAGGGAGGGAGGCTGGGAGGACGTGTGCTGCAGGAGCACAGTGCTGCCTTTGCCAATGTTCGTTCGCACACACTTGGCTCCACAGAGAACTTGAGCTTTCCTGGTTTTGCTGAATGAATTCTCTAGAGGGGTGATTCAGAGGATGTCTGCAACTCCAGGATAGCTTTCCACCACAAGCATTGACTTTAATCTGCACAAGTTCAGATAAAGCCCTTGCCTGGATCTATTTCTGAGGTGGATTAAAAGTGAAGAACTGAGACCCCTTCTAAATACATTTACTAGGCCTGTGTTACACATAAAGGAGAGCCTCCTGCTTGTCTTTAGTTAAAAAAAAAAAAATTTTTTTTTTTTGAGTAAAGTTCTGCCATATTCTTTCTCTGTGACTTGGGACTGAGTTGCAGTTTCTCTGCTTGTAAAATTTGTGAATTAGCTCTGAGCCTAATGCAAAGCCTGTTTGTGGGTGAGACAAGAGTCATGGGCATTTGTGCCTTGTGACCAGCATGGCTTCCCCTTCCTTCAGAGTAAGAGATGACTGCTGTGAGTAGGGTGAACGTGTAGTATGAGGTCCACATCAGGAAACTTCTGAGAGTGAGAAAGAGCTTATTCAGAATTTTGTCAGAATGCCAGGTATGACCCAGGCCAAGCAGGACATGCAGTCACCCTACCCAGGAGAGGGAAGGCAGGTCGGAAGTGAAAGGATCTTTGTGGGTGGAGTCTTATTCTGTTCATCTGACCTTTATTATGCTCCTCTCTACAGAGGCCTCACCACCTCCCAAGATAGTCTCTTGTTTCTGGATACCTCTGACTCATGGAGAATTGCCCTTATTTGAGCTGAACTCTTTCTATTTGATGTCATTTTCCAAGGCCTGATCCCTAGGTCTGATGCAGATGGTTTCTCTGCTTCACTCTCTTGGTAATAAGTGCAGTCTGAAAGGGAAAGTCTAGTGTTTTCGTAATGTGTGTAGTATATTTTTGTTTTTAGTGCTGAGAAGATGTGGTCCCTTTTTCTGTATTATTTAATAAATTTTTGCAATTGCATGGGAATTCAAGAATGCCAAACAAGGCATCCAAGCTTTACTGCATTCTCTCTTCCATGCCCCAGCTCCTTGTCTTCAGGCATACGTAGTTTCATATCCTTGTGAGCAGTATCCTTGCAGTCTTGAGGTCTGTATTTTCACATTGGCATCATCTAGTATAGAACATTTCAGGTTGCTGCATAGCCTTCTGGATTATATTTTTAGAATTCCCCATATCGAACATTTAGTTTGTTTCCAATTTTTCTACTATCCTAGATTAGTTTTATGTAGCACAGATTCTTCCCTCTGGGGAAGAGAGGGAAAATGTTTGCTGGGATAGATTCCCAGTAGTGAGATTAAATGGGTCAGAAGGTGTGTATATTGTTTTTTCCGGCCTGACATACTTATATAGTTAAAATTACTTCTCCAGAGGAGCTGCCCCAATTCATGGGAAATAGCCTGTCTCTTTTGGAACAAGTGTGTGTGTGTATGTATTTGCACATCTAGGCTTGCCAAGGTAGAGGGCAAGGGTTACTTGATCAGAGTCCCCACCAGAACTTAAGGAGTTGCCTGTGGTGCTGATCCTTGCAGGGTCTCAGCCCCTGATTCCCCCAACTCAGGCATTTGTGAAGCTGGGACTACTAGTTGGGATTACCAGGGTAGGGGTGTGTATTAGTCCATTTATGTTGCTTATAACAAAATACCTGAAACTGGGTGATTTGTAAAGAAAACAAAATTTATTCCTTAGTTTCTGAGACTGGGAAGTCCAAAGTTCATCTGATGACTGGTGACAGTGACCAAGGGGTCTCACATTGCAAGATGGTGGAAGCAGAGAGAGCGAAAGACAGACTCTCCTCTTCTGTTAAAGCCCTCAGAACCATGCCCCTGACAACCGTTTTTAATCATTCACACTACCTCACGGTCCTACAATCCAATCACCTCTTCAAGGCTCCACCTTTCAATTACTGTAATAGGATTTCGCACCCTCTTAACAGTCACAGTGGGGGCTAAGTTTCTAATACATAAAACTTGAGGGACACAATTCAATCCACTATAGGGTGTTCAAGGCGCACTGAGATTATTGCCTAGCACATGTCATTGTTAAATGTTAGCAGGGTACTTTCAAGTCTGAGTAACTTGGAGTGCACATGTTAAGTGCATCCTTTGCTGGTAAGTAGCCTGGCACAGTTTACTGGAGTGATCTGTCTTCTCTGTGGGAGTGCCTTGCTTGCAACTTGTTTATACTTTTTTTTTCAGAAATCCTTTTCAAAAAATCACCCCTATTGAGATATAATTTAGATGGAATAACATTTACCCATTTTAAGTGTGCAGTTTGATGACAGCTGTATATGCCACATAATCCCATCACCACAGTGAGGATATAAAACATTTCCATCACTTGAGATACTTCCCCTGTGCTTCTCTGCAGCCACTTCCTCCCCACCCATTCGCCAGGCCACCACTGATCTGTCTTCCATTGCTATTGTTTTTATTTTCAATTCCATTGATTTCTTTTTGTTTTCGGTCTTTTTAAATTATTTTTTTTAATTGTGGTAAAATACTCATACACGTAACAAAGTTCATGATTGTAACCACTTTTAAGTGTACTGTCCACTGGCATTACTGTACAACCATCACCACCATCTTCAGTCTATTTCATTGACTGCTGCTCTTATTCTGATTATTTCTTCCCTTCTACTTACTTTGGGATTATTTTTTTCTCCTAGCTTCTTAAAGTGGAAGATTAAATCATTGATTGTTAGATCTTTCTTCTTGCCTGGTATCAGTATTTGAAGTTATACATTTTCAGCATCCCACACATTTTGATATGTCTTCACTTCATTTGGTTATGGTATTCTATATATGCATATTCTGTATGTGATTTGTAGTTGTGTGTCCCCATCCCCTGCTGTTTACTGGATTTCAGCAATTTCATTATATATGTTAGTGTGGTTTTCTTTGTGATTATCCTGTTTGGGATTCACTGGGCCTTTGAGTTTTATAGTTTTCATCAAATTTGGGAATATTTCGACCATTATTTATTTTTTATTTTTTTATTTTTTAAATGATGACTGGTAAGGGGATCTTAACCCTTGACTTGGTGTTGTCAGCACCACGCTCTCTCGAGGGAGCTATGGGCCAGCCCTTGACCATTATTTTTTTAAATATACACCACCCCCCTTTTCTTCCCTGGGACTTGTGTTGTCTTACAGGTTGCTGAGGCTCTGTTCTCGAGGGAGCCATGGGCCAGCCCTTGACCATTATTTTTTTAAATATACACCACCCCCCTTTTCTTCCCTGGGACTTGTGTTGTCTTACAGGTTGCTGAGGCTCTGTTCAGTTTTGTTTTTGTTGTTGTCTCCCCCCCCTTCATTAGTTT